CTTTTTGGTTGGAATTCAAGCTTTCTGGTTGGAATTAAAGCTTTTTGGTTGGAATTTAAGCTTTCTGGTTAGAATTTAGGCTTTTTGGTTGGAATTTAAGCTTTGTGGTTGGAATTTACGCTTTTGGGTTGGAATTTAAAATTGTTGGTTGGAATTTAATGTTGTTGCTGAAATGGAATTACGCTTTTTGGTTGGAATTTCAAGTTGTTGGTTGGAATTTAAACTTTTTCGTGTGGATTTCATTAAAGTTTGTCGTTGGAACTACCACAATTAATTAATGATAACTAATGACAACGAACCTCAGCATTCTGGTGGATGGGTGGTTGCTTCTAGATTCTCGGTCTAAACTTCTTGCTTTGTGTCTGGGATGCTGGGAAATTTAAATTCGAATCAGAGACTGAGACATGCAACAATACCAGTTGCCAATCATGATGTGGGAAATGGCAGGATGACCCTAATGCTCCGTCGGCCACAACATCATTCTCGCAAGCGCTCTAGCTCATCTCCCAAAACGCCACTCCAGCATTTACAGCACATCTTGCTTTTGCGTGCCAACTGGGCCTTGTGCAGAATCACATGCAACAATCTCTTTGTCACCTACCCGAGACCTATTAATTCCATGAATATTGAAAGTTAGCAAGCAGGCGTTTGTTATAGAGCTCAATCTGGTCCGCCCATTGCGGGAAGTCTTTGGGCGGCTTGTCGGAGGAGGTCTCGCCCGAAAAGGCGGAGGCCACAGCGATAGCGCCCAAACCTGAAGGAGGTGGGGGCAGGGGGCGCGATGTGCCTGCCATTGGCGGCGGGCTTCCAGCCACATATGCACCAGAATCGCCTCGCTGAGGGCGGCGTCCGCCGTCCTTGGGCTTCTGGACTTTGTTGGTGGAGCTCGTGCCTTCATCGAGCTCAGGTCCCGCGCCCGACTGGGCGAGGAGGTCGTTTGACTTGATGAGCCCCTGCCACGGTATCGGCGGTGCCGCCATTGCTCTGGAAGGAGGGGGCAGAACGGAAGGCCCGCGTTGCCGGTGCTCACGGCGAGTCGAGGCTACGAGGCACAGAGTGGAAGGCGGCCTGTGGACTTTCTGTACAGGGGCCGTGACTGAGAAGGCCATGGTCGTTATGGGCCCATGCGGCCAAGCCAGGCGGAGTCTTTCCCCTCTGTGTCCGTCAGGCGTAGGCGGCTGGCGCCCAGAAGCAACTGGGTTAACGGGGCAGGGCCCTCGTACCTCGGCAATGAGCCCATGCAGCCGGAGGCGGCGCCGCCAGCCTGGAAGGGCATCCACCAGGCGGACACGAAGTGTTGTGCGGTCTTGGGAGCGGCTGAGTGTATGCCACTGCTGGCCAGAGCCGCCCGCGCCTGAGCCCAGGCCTGCTAGAGTAAAGTCAAGCAGAACAGATTGCATCATAGGCCTGGAGTCGCAAGAGTCAAGCAGTGCAGCGAGCGAGAGACGCGGGCAGAGCGCTATTTCCCGGTCGCCTTGATCCGAAGATGAAGACTCCTCCCCCTGTGAAAAGCAACGCTTGCAAAGATCGTCCTAGGACTAAGACGGTAAAAATTTCGCTGTTTCTTTATTGGCCAATCGCAGGAGGCTCTCCACAGCGCTCTTTTGTTCTGGAGTTCCGCCCTGTCATGGCGGTGGACCTTGTGGGCCCTGTAGCGCATGATCAACTGGGCGTCTTGGTGCCCCGGCGCCCTCGGGCTCCGCCGTGCAAAGCCTCGGTGGAGACTGCCAGGCGCCCCGCCAAAAAGGGGGGCGGATGAGGCCCACTGGCGGAGGTTCTCCGTCAGCTCAGGCTGACCTGGTTAGGCGGGTTTCCGCCCCCCATGTTGCTGGCAGAGCCAGTTTCTTCGGGCGGTGCTCCTGCACCCTGGTCGCCCGGCAGAGGGGCCGCCTTGGAGAAACAAGGCGGCGGTTGCCCCGACCGTATCAAACTGCCCCTGTTGTTGTAAATGCGCCATCCTGGCTGATGGGATAGACGCAAAAAGCCATCACGGCTCCCACATGGGAATATGGATCACCAGTGTAACCACCAGCGTAGTGATATGGAAATGGCATCGGGCTGCTCCCGGCATCCAGAAAACCCCAAACCATGCGTAGGTAAGATAATCCTAGCCCTCGAACAAATGTGAAGACCTGGACCAGAAGCCAAAAACTGGCTCCCGAATAATAGGCTGGAGCCACTGCAGAGAAACAGTAGCGAGTGGTAAGTCACTGGCCAGTCAGCGCTGTACGAAACATGCCGATCCAACCAGATACCTTGGAGCTGCCCTCGCAAAGAAGGGGAGGACAGCGAAAAAGCAGTGAGGCGTCTGCTAGCCAAAAACCACCACCTGAGCCACTCTATACAACATCGTGGCGAGTTGTCAGTTGATTGCATAATAATGCAAAAGTAAAGTTTGTACGGAAACCAGTCGAACAGCGCTGTACGCGGATGCCGGATAGACCAGTGAAGCCGAAGTTGCCTTAAGCAGCAACGAATTGTGAAGAAGTCGCGTTCCATGTTGTTGATGCCAATGTGCCAGAAACCTCCCCCACTACCCCAATCCCCTCACGGGGATCCGAGCGAACTGTTTGACCTACGTCGAACAGCATGGGCAGCAGTTGCCAGCGCCTCTAGGGTCCGCCCTCTGAGGGGCTATCTTGTTCGCTTGCGCGGGACGCGCCCGGAGTGGGCGGCCGTTCTGGCTCAGGGCTCAGCGCCTGTCTCGGGCGGAGCCGCCCCAGATGTAGTAGACGCCGACGGTTACAAAGTAGACGGTCGAGCCGTGGGCGGTGTGGACGATGTAGGGTCGCCCTCGCCCGCCCCAGCAGCAGCCGCCAGCGCAGCGCAGCCGATGTCGGTGCCGCTTATGAGTCGGGCGGTGTCGACCATGTGCGTGGCCGCCAGGTAGGACTCCAGAGAGGTCATACTGCCCATGGCAGGCGGCCAAATGGGCTCTTGAGTGCCCTGGCTAGCGGTAGGCGAGCCAGCAGCGCCCACCATGGAACCGGTCACCGAGATGGCGTCCAACTTGTTCACGTTCGCCCCTTCGGGGGCGGTCACCTGATTGGTGACATTGTCCGCCGGGTCCAGGCGGAATGCACGTCTCTGATTGCTCGCCCCAGCTGGGCCACTGCCGCCCTCATCGTCAGAAGGCGAGGGCGTCGCTGTGCGGCCCACCGCCTTGGAGGCGAGGCGGCGCAAGGCGGCAGCGGCAGTAGCCACGTTGTCAGAAGCCGCCATAGCTCAGGCGGAATGAAGCTACGCAAAGGGGCACAAAAAGCGGTCTGAGCAATCGAGCTGCGGTGCGCGCCCGATTGCTCCATGTTACAACGCACACAAGTGTGCTAACACACCAATGGGGGGTTCTAGATGGTAAGGTCTATAGATCTCTCTGCTTGGGTTGCATTACAGATTTTAATTCCATATAATTAGCATGCAGGGGGTCCTTCCTTGATTCCTTGAGCTGTACAAGCCAACAGCCTGTTTCTGCCTTGGA